GTAAAGTCATTGATGAGGTGGTGGTTATGTTCATTGAGATTGCAGTGCAAGGAGACACAGTCGCTCTGATACAGCAAGTCCTGTAGGGTGTAGACCCTCTGCACGCCCAGGGACCGCTCGATCCCATCCTGCAAGTAGGGGTCATAAAATATGACGCTGAATCCAAAGGCCTTGGCTCGAACAGCAACCGCCTGCCCCGTGCGACCGAAGCCGATGAGGCCCAGTGTCTCCCCACGGATTCGTGCCGCTCCTGAGGCCACCTCGCGGATCTGTTCCACACTCTGTACCCGCGTGCCTTCCCGCAGGGCCTGGTACAGCCACGTGTTGCGGCGGTATAGGTTGAGGATGTGGCAGATGGTGGAATCGGCCGTCTCTTCCACAGCTGCAGACGGGATGTTGCACACAGCGATCCCAAGCTCGCCGGCAGCCTTGATGTCCACGTTGTCATAGCCACTGCCGATCCGCACAATCACCCGCAGGGCCTTGAACTTCTCCAGGTCTTCCCTGGTGAGGGTGATAGTGTGGTACATCATGGCGCCCACGGCCTCATTTAACACCTTCTCGTGGATCTCCTGAGTGGACTGTGCATCGCAGAAGGCCACAGTGGCCAGGTCCTTCAGGATGGGCATCTCCACGGTGCAGTCTCTGCCGTCCAGCAGTGCCACCAAGGGGCGGGGGTGCAGGGGGCCGTTCATGATCTGGGGGCGGATACCTTCACAAATCCTGTCCAATCGCTGCCGCTTCACTTTGTGCTTATCCACAAGGGCCATTCTTTATCGAACTTTGCAACTCTGAGTCAAAAGGCAAAGCGGTCCTCTAAGAACTTAGGGGAACTCGCAGGAGTCTGCGCGCATTACGCCACTATGCACCCCCACAGGTTGTTTCTGTTTCTTTTAAATAGTGTACCGCTGAGAAATTGATTTGTTTGCGCCGCGTGCCTGTTCTGTCAGTGTCAGGTGGATGCCAGAGAAGGAGGAAACACAGGCAGCAGCACCCATCTTTCTGCACCAGATAAAAACACCAGGCTGGGGACCCACTTTCTACGAGGGCCCTTTCCAATATAAATCTGTCTGCAAATTCTACAGTTCACGCGACGGGCTGTCCGTCTTCTTAAGGGGATACAGCTTCATTGGCTCAAAACCATTTAAGGTGGTGGAACCCTCGTCCAGGGCCGCCGGCGTCCACCGCGAAGGGCGCCCACCCGGGAGGCGGCGGCGGCGGCGGCGCTCCCGCCCCTCCCACCCCACCCGGCGGCGGTGGCGGTGGCGGTGGCTGTGCTGCCCCCCCCTCAGCGCGGCATGGCTCCCGGCTCCGTCCCTCGCTCCTCGGGCCGCCTCCGGCTCCTCTGGGCCGCTCCCGAGCCACCTTAAATCTCTTTTTTTTCTTTTTAAAGAAAGAAAAGCTATGTAAAAAGCCTTCAGCATGAGTCAGAATAATAACTTATGGTAGTCTGCTATTTTATGACATTCATTATCTAATTGTCTGATTTTACTCTCAACAACCTTTTGAGATATGGAAAGTATTATCCATTTCATTCCCAGATAAGCATAGTGAGGTTTATAGTGCTTGAGCAGCTTAACACAAATTCACTCCTTTCTATGTACCATGGTGCAACCTAGGCTACATAATTCAGGTCTCAGTTCCCCATGAGGGACTCTGGACTTGAGTAGGTAACTTGCTCTATTTTTGGACCATGTTTTTTCCTTTGCTAAATTTGGAAGGAAGTCATTGACCTTCCTGTCCTGACCCCTGAATTAACTGAGATAATATCCAAAAGCATTTCTACATTTTTTTTTAAAAATGGTCTTTTAAAAATCATAGCATTAAACTGAAAACAATTTTTAAAAACATGTATTCATGAAGATTGAACTCTAATAACACTAATAATAATGACAGACAGTAAGTAAAGTTATTGATTGTGAATCCTCTTTTGATCTAAATTTAGCATTTGGCATCTCTGCTATTTCTAAATTGAGCATTTCTTCCTGTATGTGTTATTAACCCTTTATTTTTCTTTAAGCATACATTTCTTTTTAAGTTTTTTTTAAGTTTTGTATTTCATATTTTAATAGTAGTAAATATTCATTTTTCATGTCATAATTTTATAATAGAGATGAACATACATAAATATTGGTACCCATCTCATGATTTTCATATGACTAAATTTGAGAAAATATGGAATTATGAATGAATGAATAAATTGAATGAGTGAATAAAAAAATAAGTGCATGAAATAGAAAGGACATAATTCTGAGTTTTGAACCTAGGCAATCAAATTGCCTATCAGAAATTTGTAAATAATTAACTGAGTGGTATTGTATATGGTAGTCACTTCTTGCACCAAAAGCTTAACTGTCTCTATTATATTTTACTGTCTGCATATTATGAAGGTAAAAATGTATCTTGATTCACATTTCTCCTAATATTAATATCAATGATATTTAAATAATTTGTTCATTGAATAATTTTGTCTTTGATGAAACTCCTACCATATACATGTCATATATTTTTAAAGAATGAGCTTTTATTGCAGCTCCACCCAGTTATTACTGCCCCTGTAATTGGATATAGTATTTTCTGATTTTTGGAAATTTGAATTTTCCATGCAAGGTTATCATTACCATTGGGGTGTTTTGGGAGTAGTAAGTACAACATCTGTTCAGATGTCTGCAAGGCAAGGAAGCTAAAATTTAGTGCTTCAGTGACCTTTACATACTATTACTTTGTAATATAGGTTCTATAGTGAGTTATATAAAGATATAAGCAAAACCAAAATATGTTCATAAATTCTTTAAAAGCATATGTATTAGGTATACAGAGGACAGAAGATAGTAGAAATATAATGAATAAAAATAAATCTCATTAAACTCATGCCCATTTATTATTTATCAAAATGTTATATTATGCTTTTTTCCTTATCATTTTAGAATGATCTACATAGAGCCATTCAGCGTACGCAGTCTGCAATGTTTAACCAAGTTTTGATTTTGCTATCTACAATACTATGCCTTATCTTCACCTGGTAAGACTTTTTAAATGTTTCATTTAATTATAGTTTTTAAAGGAAACCCTATTTAAAGTATTTTATTAATAGTTGGCTAAAAATAAGCAAACATGTATTCACCATAAAATACAGCAGGCCTCTTACAGAAGTAAAGTAAAATCATTCCTTTAGTCTTGTGTTGATATTTACTGCATGTCTCACATTTTCCCATTGCTTGTAAACAGTCAAATTACAAGAATTTGGACGGCATACTGTATTTTGTCAAACAAGAATTTTCTTTCCAATCACTGACGTAAAGGTGCCCTAATCTTTTGACATTCTTCAAAGCAGAAACACTGCTGAGAAAACTGCCATTGCCTATCAGTGTCTCTGCCTCATCTACAAGATGTTTTCTTGTGCAGTCAGGTGGAAAGCAAGGGCAGATCTCCTGACAGTGCAAGGCAACACTTGGCATTTTGCTTTATTACAAAAAAAATTAATTTGCTCTTTTGGAAGTCACACTTTGACAATTATTAAGTAATCCATTGTGCAGTGCTATATTTTACATATGGAGTCATGCTGATCCTCAGCAAGAGAAAAATATGTTGCTATCAAAATACAAGGTAGAATAATGTCTCTTTTGTAGGAGTTGTAGATTTCTGGTGTAATTGCTGTGCAGTGGATTTGGATAACATAGGTATGGTAACTATGTTAGTAGTTTGTGGTTAATATCACTATGGAATGTACGTCAGGTGTGTTTTATTGCCTTATTTTTTATTGAAAAATAAATATTTTGTGATATCTAATATGTAAGTATAAAGTGTCCATCTAAATTTTACACAGCACCAGCTTTTTTAAATCTTTCACAAATTGTCTTTATGCTTCATCCAGTAAATATCTAATTGAATAATATGAAACACTAAAAGTGATAACTTTCTTTCTAAAGTCACTAATAATTCTTAATATCCATATAATGAAATTACTTGAATCACTTAGGAGTTTTCTTATCTTACATGAGGAAAATTATTTGAAATTTTGTATGTACAGTATATATATGCTAATTTTTTTAGTTGCTTAATAATTACAAAAATTAAAATTAATGATTTATAGGTAAAATGTGGGAGTCTATTAAAATGAATGTTGTAAAGAAATAATTGTTTGAGGGGGAGCAGCTTAGTGTTAGAGAGATTGCTGAGCATGCACAAGGTCCTGGATTCAATCCCCAGCACTGAAAAATTTTTTTTTTGAAATATTTAATATCAAAATAAAGATAAATTATTATTATTATTATTTTAAATATATTTTTTAGTTGTAGATGGCCACACTATCTTTATTTTTATTTATTTATCCTTATGTGGTGCTGAGGATCAAACCCAGGGCCTCACACATACAAGGCAAGCGCTCTATCACTGAGCCACAACCCCAGCCCAAGATGAATTATTTTTATATCATGACACTAAGTAGTACTTTAGTTCTGGAGATATCTTCATTATAATAAATCTTCATCTAGAGTAGGTTTTCTCTTTACTCCCACTTTCTGCCTAGTACTTCTAGTTGGGTAGTTTTTTATTTCCGGAGAAGCAACTAGATAAATTTTGCCACATTTTTATGCCAAGGGATGCAACAGCCCTAGAGAAAGGTTTTCACTATGTGAAGTTTCCACTGTGTAATTTATTCATCATTGAGTAATTTTTTTTGCTTTTATTTATTGTTATAATTGCTGTTATTTTTGTTGTTTGTGTATCAGTTTTAGACCATTGGAGGTTTTGATATGTGGACATATCTCTTGTAAATGTCATTGATATGTGGACATATCTCTTCTGTGCAAGTCATGTGAAATTTAACTGAGTAAAATGTCATTGTTTTTAATCACATGCTTATTAATACATTCTTAAATTATGAAATCTACTGAAAGCACCTGAAAGGGAATACAAAAAAAATGGAGGCAGAACTCATGGATAAGTGATGCTTTATTGTGCATCTGAGGGGTATGTCTTTGTGGGGAAAATGGCGGCAGGCCAAAGGAGGGTCTGGGTTTTATAGCAAAACCAGCCCATGGAAGGAGTTAGTGACTTTGGCAGGCCCTTTTGAGGGGCAGTGGGTAGATCCAAGTCATGGGAGGAGTTTTGGTGGCAGGGTCATTTAGGGCAGGGCAGGAGGGCAGGTAGGGGATTGGGAGTGTAAGTTCTTTCTGGGATTATTTTTCATATCCTCTATCCAGAATGGAGAGACTGAGGGCAGATTTATTTGTTTATTCTTCTCTAGCATTACAATATCTTCATAAATCATAAACATCGTGATATAGAAGAAATCATAAGATTCACAATTAGAAGTGCTATTATCTGTAAAGAAGGGTATGAACAGTGTTGTTTTAGTCATAATATATTATACAGGCTGCTTTATTAAAGAGTTACACCATGTGGAATATAAAGTATAAATAAATAAATAAATGCAACTGAAACAAACAGAAACATGTGGGCAGTTTGTTTAGGATTGGTATATTAACTTGAAACTCTTGAGGACTGAATTTTCACATATGTTGTTTTCAGCCTTTCTCAAAATGTGATTTCCATCTTATTGGTTCAAGATGGCTGGTTCTACCCTTGCCATTACATCCTAACTCCAGTCTTTAGGAAGGAAAATAAGATGTAACTGAATATTTGCATGCATGTTTTAGGCTAGAAATCAGTTATGTATCTATGCACGACTGATACAGAGTCCCTGCAAAAATGTGGTCTAGCTAGCCAACAGTGTGCCCATTTGAATTTTGTACTATGACATAAAAAATAAAAACTAGATATGGTAGAGCAATTAAGTCTTTGGCACTGACAAGTCATAAAAGTTCATGAGTTATTAGTTGTTTAAAACTCAAGGCTAT